ACAGACACAGCTGCTGGTGACCAGTGTTTAAGACACATACCCAAGATGCTGGTACAAGTTTCAGCTTCAATGACAAACTCATCACTTACATGAAATAAAACCCCAACAGCTTGATGGCTGGAGCTCTCACAAAGTTCAGTCTGAAGCCCTGTCATCAAAAGACTTGCATACAGCTTGTTACTGTCAACCTGAACATGCTACTGTTAAGAACAAAAACCAGAAATCAGCAGAAGAATAGTATGTTGTGTGTGGTTTATGCATCAAGCTCACAGGACACAGAGTAGATGAATAGTGCATTTTAGTAGCCATATTCTGGAGGCTGGGAAGCTTTTATTTCAGTTAGGAAACTTACTGTGGGATGGTCAGCAGGAACAGACACCAAGCTGTGTACATTCAGACACTCAAAACATTTACAGGTATTAAAGCAGATCAGTGCAATTGAGGATGACTTTGAGGGTGTCACTCATGCCTAAAGGTGAACCTTGGCAAGTTTTAGAAAGAGCTAGATGCCTTACATTATTAAGACTCTGGATTTCAGATGACAGCAGTTCTTCCACGCAGAGAAGTGAAAAGCTAATAAACTTTAAATAATGATTTGGACAAGGACAATGAGAGCTGAAAATGAACTGGCTCAATAATCTACTCTGCATCCTTCCTATCTCAGTGGTCTCCATCATCCTTAAAATATTCTTTTCTCAGGCTTCCAAAGCTCATTCGCATGCTAAGCAAAGAAGAAAATTACGATAACAGCACCATTTTAAAAATTCAAATATAAGAGCCAAATTCATCCCTAATGTGATTTCATTAGCTTAATGAGATTACACCAGGGATGTAATTGTCCCAAGGACTACATTAAATGAACAGTAATACATATTTTTTGCAAAATCCTGTAATACACTTTCATTAACTTTGTTCCTTTAACCACATATTTAACCTCACTTCCTCTCTCCCCTCACCATCAGTGTAAATGCTGCTCATCGCTTAGGTAAGATTAAGGACATTAAGTACATGAAGGAGTCAGCATGCTGAATTTACCTATTAATCTTCTCTCCCACCCTCTTAATGGACTGATTTCAAGCCCATGAAGCAAAAAGCAAATATTGCTTTGCCCCATAATGAAAAGCTTTTTTTAAAAAAAAAAAAAAAAAATTAGGTACCAGGTGCATTTTTTAATTACTTTTTTTTTTTTTTTTTTTACTTCATTCTGTCTTCATCTCTATTTCCTTCAAACTGGCAAAAATCAAGTGATTGTTTTGCTGCATCATGTATGAAATGTTTTGCTTCATTGTAATACCAAGGCTGCAATCTTTCTTTCAAACTGTGACAATTAATATGCATTTCATCCTCTGGCTTGCCTAAGCCAAAGCAAATGAACTGTGGCCTCATTGAAATGATACGGCCTCTTGACCCTTTGTGCAGTTTAAAATGATGTAACCTGAACCATTTTAATCTGAAGGCTGGAAGAAGTCAAAAGCTGTAATGAGTTCAGGACACTTCAAGACATCAGGAGAGCTATCTTGTCAGAAAAGATGCACCTTTTGTATATAGAAGCTATAATATACTTTGTGAATGACGCAGACATAAAAAAACTGCCCAGCAATAGATTTTTCTACCTCTTCCCAGTCATGACTACAGAGACCAGATCTTGCACAAGGGATGAAATAACTGATGGCAAAAGTGACACCAGACTTAAATGCCTCTGTTAAGTTTTACAACAGAATAAACATTATGGGGAGGATTCAAACCTATGCATCTTCTAAATAGCAGTCTATTAAAAACTTAAGGAAAATGCTGACTTCCACTGAGCTGGGTTTGTTACAGATTTTGAGAACAACATGTTTGGCTCTCCAACCCTCTCTGAGATGCCACTTCTGAAAATAACCTTCAGATGTGTTTGGAGTGCTTTCCCACTTCCACTGTGATAACATTCAGAGATCTCATGGACTCCACAGGCCTCAGAAACAAACTTTTGACTCCACTGAAGTCAGTGAAAAATGTATACAATAAAACTTTACATGTTAGTTTGGGGTTTTTTTAAAACCTTTAAACACTTTATAAAATGGGAGTCCACTCTTACAAGTGGGAAAAACTCAGGGATAAATCTGGAAAGCAATTAAACTATACACAAAACCTCTGTCCCAAATGTCAAATCCAAAAGATCATTCTATCTTTTTTAAGTTTAAGAAGCAGCTTCTACTCATACTATGCAGTGGTGAGTTAGTGCTCTGTTCTCATCTTGAGAGCTAACAATCTAGTGGCAGAGGAAAACGGCAAATTAAACAAGGCAGAATGAATTCAGACTGCAGAGCATCCAGCAGAGCTGAACGTAACAAGCTTGAATTAAATAATTAAAATACCAAGCAAAAAAAAGCTTCAGAGAGCAAAGGGTGTTCTTGGTCACTGATTGCTGTTTAAATTGGTTTGGCCTCTAACAATTTAGAGATGCTCAAAAAGCATAAATTTCCCCAAGATTTATGTGCTTGGCCGTGATGACTGAAGAAGGGGAAAAAGTTCAATTTGCATAGTACATTTTTATAGATGGTTAAGCCTTTAAGTGGATTAATAAAGTTTGATACTTTTAGAGGCATAGGTTTGTATTAAATGACAGGCATTAAAGTTAAAAATAAAATGAAAACAACATATACACACACTGATTAGAAACACGTACAATACCTATTTACCAAGGTTAAGGTCATAGAGTTATTATAGTCAGATAACCAAAACATCTGCACAGGAAAAGCTTTCAAATTTCACAAAATTATGTATCAAATGATTTTATGGGTCTCATGATACTGTTGAAATCCTTGAAGAGTGGTGTGTGCTGAAATAGCTTACCAGCTTGGAACTCCAGCTAAAACCCTTCTGATACTTATTCATTCACTTTCCAAATGGGCATGCCATTGAAGCTCTTTGCTTTAACTCTCTACCGCAATATTTGATAGAACGATGGAATTCTTTTTCTTTTTCTGTTTTTTTTTTTTTTTTTTTGGGACATGGTTTGATATCAGAATGAGAGAAATAGAAAAATACTATTTGTTTTCAAACCCCCCAAAATAAGTCCTATCATGCAAATTTCACCCCAAACTGGTTTTTGCTAGAAGAGAAACTGTGTTAAAAAAACAAATTATGTCTGGACTGGTGATAGTACTATATGTTTGTTAGTTTCCAGTTAAATCAAAAAGAAAACTTCTGACCTACTTATAATTCATTTTTTATATATTTGTGACAAAATGAGAAAGAAAATAATTTGCAGCTGGATGATACTTTTTTACGTGAAACAAAGTGGTATAATTTTAAAAATCTTAAAAATAAACAGTATACCAAAATATCATTTTGAACTGAAAGAAGTAAATATTTCAATTGTGTGATATTAAAATGGACGCTATGTTATTATCTCAAAAAATCCTATTATTTTAGGATAAAGCAACTTAACTAATGAGAACTTGTGACACAAACCAAGATTTACTTTAGAAAGTGAAAACAAATAGAAACCTTGCACTGCATTGGAAGGCATTACTTTGGGCTACGTTTGTCAGCAGACCAAAATTGTCATGGCATGTTCTCAGATAAGAATTGTCATGTAAATGCTAATTACACTTCTATTTTTTAAAACAATATAATTAACAAAAACTAAAAAAGAAGAAAGTACATGTAGTCTGCCAGTACCTGAATTAATTGCATTCATAGTTATGGCAGCAGACATGCTCTCAAATTAGTCTAATATTGCCTATTACTCTTTAGTGTAGCAATTTGAGTGTCTGAATGACAAAACAAAATTTTTCCTTCCTTTATTTTTTACCAGTAAGTCAAAGCACTTAATACAATTTTTATGTTTAGCTTTACTTACATAAAATTACATTACTCAGGATTTGACTTCTATAAGCACAAAAAGGAGCACGCATTTCCATTACTTAAGGTGCCCATATTATATGGCCAAATACAGAATGGGCATATACTACATAAAAAAACATATGCAACACAGTTTGTTTCATCAGCAACTGAATGTGAATCTTTAGAACATAGGTAAAGAACTCTCAAGAGCAAAGCCATTCAAGAAAAATAGAAAGCACAAGGTGTGGAGGGGGCGAAGGCCTCCCTCAGCTCCCAGAATTTGACTCAAGAATCTTGCTTAGTGCAAGCACCATCTCCTTCTCCTTTTAAACAGTTAAACACCGTGTTTATATAGAAATGTTAGTCATACTGAATTGGATGTAGTGATCAATTTAGCTAATACCACCTCCATGGAACTTTTGAGAGACAGTTATGTAACTAAACTATTAATCAAAATAACAAATAGGTATTTACTAGTCACTGTGACCAAAGTCACTAATTAACAGTATTTTAAAAGAGCTGCTAGCAGGAATTTCAGTCTTAGAGGAGGTTCTTGTACTAGTAAAATTAAATTCAGGCTAGTGAGCACTTAGAGTTGCTTAGAGAGTGCCACTGGTAATGCCTTGCAGGGAAGTCAGTGTAGCCAGGACTCCAATTTGCCTTGGTATCTCTGATACCAGCAACAGTACTCCAGCTGTTCCCAGTTGCATTCAGTGTGCACATAGTGAAGATGTAAGTTACGACACCAAGCTTTGTTTCATAGCTTGCATTTGGAACAAGACTGCAAAGGGTTAGCCAAATGTTAGTCAGGTGGTTGCATAAGTCACTGTGAAAATCTGGGAATCCCTGAGAAAGTCAAAGGAAACTGCCTTGTGGGCGTTGCTTCAAAGGGCTGGGATGGACAGTGTGCTGGATTCTTTTTCCCAACAGCATCTAAATTTATCTCCATTGTTCTTTTTTTTCTTTTTTTTTTTTTTTTCTGCTTAGTACTAAACCTGGATCGCAGCCAGCAAAGGACAACAATATCTTGACAGAGAACCTCATGCATCCCACACGGGTCATCTACATTGTCTGGGATCCATGTGCATCAGAGATTACAAGAGTGGAAAACAAAAGAATTACGCAACAGAAAGGTCTTGATGAGAGTAAACAAGAGAAACGTGACTTACTGCCGAAGCACTTTCCTGCCTGTAGTTGAAGCAAAGGGACAAGTAGAGGTCCACCCTTCAAATCTTCTCAGACAGTAACATAAAAATTCAGCAAATAAGCAACTGGAGTCTCATGTACTGTTGTCCGGTGTTTCTGTTTAGTCAGTACAGTTCCTTAGAGCAGAGATAAAGGACTAAATCATATGCAATTTCATACAAAAACATGCATCTGTTTTAAGATCCAGCTGATAACATTGATAAAGTCTTAGGTAAATTGTGTTACCAAAGTCAGTGCTGGTTTATTCAAAAGGAAAATCAACCATACCCATGAGAGAGCTTGACTGAGAGGAAGACTGTGGGACTGTTAAAATCCTGGTCTGCTCTGAAAGAGGTCACTTGACCTCATGTTACCTGATAGAGGTCTGTGGGCAGCCTAAGCCAGCTCACAGCCCATGGCACAATCACCTCTCTAAGCACCTGCTCTGCAAATGGCCAAGGCTTAGCAGGCTCCCCAGCCCCAGCAATGTGTGCCAATTGCACCATTGCCCTTGCTTTTAACCCTGCCTTTGGCTCTGCACACACCAGCAGTGGAGCATCCCAGCTCTGCAGGATAGGGGATTACAAAATGGGGACTTTTAAGCTGGAGACTAACTCCTGCCCACACTCTTTTCCTGCAGTTTGTCTCCAACAGCACATTGCTTCAGTGGGCACAGGCACATCTGCTCCATGTAGAAAGGGGAGACCCAGCCAGAAAAAAGCTGAGGGTGGGGCTGAAAATATAAAAAAATGTTGATAGGCAGTTTATTATCCAGAAGCACTTGGAAAGATGCTGCCTAGTGACCTAAGATGCTGCGAAGCCTCAAGGCACACCAAACACTATATTTTTCTTACCTGTCCTTTTGGATGCACTATCAGGTATAGACAGTCTTTAGTCTCATGCCCCTTTTGTGTTGCTTGTGTATGAGCTGTATTTTGAAATATCAACAAGGGCAGCGCAAGTCCAAAGTAATCAGAGTTACTAAATCTTTGGATTTAAGTCGACTTTAGGCATATATGACAAAGATGCAGTATTCTGGAAAGCCTTTTCCAGCTGCTGCCTAATCCTGGAGCTACCTAAAATGTTTTGTGGTAGTGCAAAATGCACAGATGTATCTCTGCTTTTACAATACTAAGTTAACAAATACATTGCTTTATCTAAAACAGATTAGAATAAATATATTAGGTACTTTTCTACTGATTTTAACATTGTGATCCAATAAGCATTCTCAGAGCATGCCCAGCATCCATGCACAGCATTAGGACCCACATGAAGTATGCTGCTTCCCTTTAGGATTAAATCTAATGATTGCTCCATTCAGCCAGGATGTTGAAAATAGATTCAGCTGCCTCCCCTAGTGAACCAATGCAAACCACAACTATCATTTCCCCTAGTAAATGCTATAACATCAAGGTACAGATATAGATTATTGAAAATAAGGGTAGTCTTGAACCAATGCTGTTGAAGAAGTGCCACTGTGCACAACAGTTAATTGTAGGCAGCAGGTCAAAAGAAATGTTGATTCCCCTTTATTTGGCTCCTGTGTGGCTGGTTGATTCCCCTTTATTTGGCTCCTGTGAGGCTGCAACTGCACTCTCCAGTCTTTGTCCCTCCTCTGCAAGGAACATTTAGAGAGTCTGGAGCAAGTCCAGAGCAGAGACAGCAGGATGACTACCTGGCATATGAGAAGAGGCCAAGAGAACTGGGTTTGCTCAGACTTGAGAGGAGAAGGTGAAGGGAAAATCTTACTGCTCTCTGCAGCTGCCAAATGGAAGGATGAAGAGATGACAAAGCCAGGCTCTTTCTGGAAGAAAGTGTTCTTCACTAAAGATCTCAGGTACTGATGGCATGAGAAATGACAGGCACAAGTTGAAAATAGGAAATTCTTTTTAGATGTAAGGAGGAAAAAATGTACCATGGAGATGGTTGGACACCTGAGGAGGTTGCACAGAAAGGCTGTGGAATCCCTGTCTTTGGAGGCATGTATAATTTGCTGGGCAAGTTCCCAGCAACCTGACTTAGCAAACCCTGCTTTGTGCTGGGGACTGGAGATGATGATCTCAGGAAGTCCCTTTTAACCTCAGTTTTTCTATGATTCTGTGGCTCTATGAAAGAACATCAGATGAAAGCTTGTTGGAACCTCATAGTTGGAGCACGTGGTTTGGAAAGAGAGGCCTGAATTCTGGTCCCTAGAACCAAAGGTCTAGTTATATATGTGTGTATACACACACAGCCACAGAGGGAGGTGGTAAAGCTCTATGAAAACCCATAGACACAAATGAGCCACTCCTTTTTAAAATGCAGTATGCCCCTGGACAGAGCATGCATTCTGGGCTGCAGATTATGCATGAACAGGAGCATCTTTAGAAACTGCAAGTGAGAAAAACAGTAAGTGAGATTTGAGACTTATCCCCAGCCTTCCAACTGGTTAGACTTAGGCAGAATTACATCTATTTAGTGACCCCAGGTAGTTCCTCACCTCTCTTCCAACATGCCAGATTTTCTCCATGCTTTTGTACAAGAAGCCCGTGACCTCATTTACACCAAAGTGCTTGGATGCCTTAGTTGAACTATTCCCTCACACTTACTACATTTCCTACAAACATACCAATAGTCTTGTGAAGTTCCTGCCTTCCGTGAACTAAATTCACAAGCTTTCACCTGTTATATGGTCAATTTCTAATACACTTTGCAAAAGGGCATTTTAACCCTATGATCTTCAGGTTAGTAGGTGCTGTAGTATTTAAATTATCAAAGTGGACACTGCCTCATTCAGAGTCTGACCTTTATATATACATGCCTTACTTGATATCATTGTTCTCTTTCAGTCTCCCCATAAGTGTGTATTATCTGTTATCTCTTCTCTTACAATGTATTCTCTTGAGAAACTGTGAAAAGGAAAACTAATTTCCAGTTCTGTGCTTTTTTGTAAAGACCTCACCACATGAGGTCTTTGTTAAGGCTGCAGGCCCCAGGTGCTATAGTTACATGATATTTTATTACAGACATTGAGATTATCATAGACTTTATAAGAAAAGGTGAGGTGTAATTACCAAATTAAGCATGAAGATGGTATGATCAGTGAAGACTAAAGTATAAGGAAATAGTTTCAAGGAAAAGGAAAACTTGTTTTATATCTTATTAAAAATAAGCATCAGCATTTTAACTTCTTATATACCCATATAAATAGAATAGAATTCACCTATGCAAAAGTCTAAAAATGAGCTCAGTGTGAAAATGTTTTGTGCATACAAATCTATTGTAAATCACGTTTAAAAGATTTTCAACTTTGCCTCATGTAATTAACTATTGAAATAATGCTTCTCTTACTATTTGTACCATTCTCACTGAGTGTTGAAGTTCCAAACTACATATTACTCATGAATCAGTACTGAATTTGACACTAGTGATATAAGAAAGTAGAGGTAGATGTTTAAGAGATTTCATGCAGGCAGGAGATGCTGTTATGTTGCAGAACAAAACAAATTTCCCACCGTGATAGGCAGGTTGGGGTCTATTTCCAAACTATAGCAGAAGTCTTCATCTTAATGTTGCTAATCATATTAGCTAAATATCACAGCAGGTAAAATGAGCTTTCAATAACACTGCTGAGTATTTTTCCAGCTAGTTTCATGCTTGGGATAATCTTATTTTTTTCTTTATAAGTTTTGCATGGATATACTGGGGCAATTATCTTCAGGCATTTGGAAACTAAGCTAGCACAGCAGCTTGCCAGTCTGCCTTAGTGTGACCCACTGTGGTGTTTATGTTCTGCATGCCAGTTGTTATTAGCTCACATGCGTGTGGAATACCATTTTCCTCTTTATTGGTTTAACATAATGGTATACCATGGGGAGTGTTTTACAGAAGGGACAGGATATGAATGTAAAGGCCTTCCTTCAAAGCAGGTGTTTACTATCCATACACAGGAAATTTCATTCATTCCTCCCATCTTATTTTATTCATGAACACCAAAATAAATTATCATGGAGGAGCTTAAAGTTTAACAGATAATGGAGAAAATAATTGCAATTATCTTCTGAGCACTCACAGTTTGCTCAGTGTTGTATAAACATTTTCCCAATCTGAGGCATTTGTACAATAAAGGCCAGATTAAGACTGTCCACCACAGGAGAGGATAAATTTCACAGTAAATTTCTCAGTAAATTCAACAAGTGCAGGCACACAGTGCATGGTGTCCTCCTCTTAACACTGTGGTTACATCCCTCTCAGAAGTAAGGCTGACTTAAATGTCTCTTTTACTTCCCCACTGCTGCCTTCAGTCTGTTGCTTTAAATGGGAAGAGTGAATCAGGTCAAGGAACCATCCAGGTTTAAAATAAAAAGAAAAAGGAAACCAAAACCCTCAGAAAGGAAAAGTTATTTTTCTTTTATCCTAGTCTAGTGCTTGTTCTGCCTCATAAACAATTGTAGCAGAGCAACAGGGAGCAATGCATGGGAGGAATAAAAAAGTAGGGACAGCAAGGAAAAGGCTGTTTGCATCCACAAAACTGCAGAGAATGTGTAGGGAAACAGGACCCAAAAAAAGGGAAAAGCATCTTGTCCCCAGATTTGCCCAGAATTTGAAGTTTCCATTAAAAGAGAATTAATAACCTAACATGAAAGAGGAAATGGAAGCCAAACCGGATGCTATATCAGATTATACAGCAAGATCACATACCTCAGGCCTGATCAGGGAATAGAGAAGCCTGTGATAAGGGACTGCAGATGCATAGAGGACAGAGGCACTCAGCAGAGAAAAGAGAACTCCCCTCACCTCACTGGGAACTTGCGTACTCCAGTCTGCAGCAGAGGAGTGGACAAGTTGCCCAAAGCCACCTGCTCATCTTGAGACACAGACCTACAGGTATGCATAGGGAGAGTCTGCTCCTCTCAACACTGACAACTTCTACATTAATGCTTCAACCTTGCCTAAGCCTGCCAAAAGAGTGCTGGACCAGAGGAGTAAAGAAGTAAAAACTTCAGGGCTAGAAGATATGAACAGCCTTGTTCAAGTGAGCTGTATTAATTTAAAAAAAAGAAATAACATCCACAACTTGGGAAAGGCCTAATAATGCCGCAAGAAACAAATTTTTGTTCCGAGTCTAGTGT